CGGTCGACCGGTGGAGAACGCCAGTTCGCGAAAACTCACGGAAATCAGTTCAAAAACCTGCAAATCCAGTCCCAATTCATAAAATCTCAAGGGACAACCACTAGATCCGGGTTCTAGGTACTAAAACAAGTCCAAAGAACCCAAGATCTCCAATTTCTACCTTAGTTTTACTCAAAATCCATCCAAATCCGTTTTGAACTAAAAATAAGTTTTGAAATCCGAAAAACATAGATTCAAGAGAGGTTCTTTCAGTAATCTTACCTCGAATCCTTCTCTTGACGTTGAAAACTCTTTGAAATCACTCTTGGTTCGAATCCGATTTTGATTTGAGACACAAATGGGAGAGAGAGAGGGAGAGAGAGCACGGAAGTGTGTGAGAGAGAGAGAGAGAGAGAAACGCACGGGAAAGAAAAAGAAAAGGAAAGAAAAGAAAGGAAAAAGAAAAAAAGGAAAAGGAAAGAAAAGAAAAGAAAAATAAAAGAAAATGACATGTGTAAAGTATAATAGTCCAGAAATGCGCCCATACACACTTCTGGATTAAATAAATGACTGTGAATAATTTAAATACCTTGGAATTATTTAAACTCAATAAATTAAATCAGATTAGGCACACTAATAATCTCAATTACCTTAATTTATCTCAATTAATTCTTCAGGGTGTTACATCTCATATGTACATTTGCTCTAAAAAAATGCTCTCCAATAGAAATTTTTACTTACAATTGATCATATAATTCCCCATTTTTATTGAAAAACCTACTTGGTTATTCTCCCTAAATCATCATTATCATCATCATTTTATTCTTCACCTTTCAACCCCATTTTTAGGCCCAGCCCATTTCAAAATCCTCCGCTTTCTTACACCAATGATTTGAACAACAACAGTTCTAGGTCTTCTTTATACAATTCTAGAAGTGAAAATCTCGTTGAAGAAATATTCTCTCCGACAAACACGTATTTCGGGTCGTCTGAGGATGTTAATTCTGGGTGAAAGTATGTATGGACTTGTTCAAGATGTAAGAATCTCATATCAACAGAAGCGGATGTTTGAGTTTGTTATCTTTGTGTATCCATATACTGTGAAGCTTATCTTGGCTAAAGGAAACCTACATTTTGTTTGTGATTCTTAAGTGCTTGTTAAGCCTTACAAAGAGAAGGGAAAAATTGTAGAAAAGTATGAGAAAAGTTTGCTCTTATTGATCTTATCTGATCTCCTTACAATAATACATTCATCAGATGAGTCATGTACTTAATATGCGATGATTTTCGTCACTCATTGTAACAGAAAGATAAAATTTATTACAAAATTCAGGAAAAATATATGTTATTTTTTAAAATTAAAAGGACAAACTGTTATAAAGGTCATAATTCGAAATTTTTTTAAATTAATATTTTTTAATTAATAAAATAATAATTATTTATTTTTAAATGAAACGACATAAATAATATTTATTTTACTATATTACGGTTTAAAATCAAGGTAAATTACACGGCCTATTTACAAGGGTATTGATGGAAATTAAAAATTAAAATGAACATTTCAAATGCTCATCTATTAAGGGTTACATGACTGTTATATGCTATTTTCTATCCATTATAGACTTTTGAGATAGAGACCTTAATGGGACAATTAATTAGATCATTTTGAATGTTGGGGGATCAAAATGGGATTAATCTCAAGTTTGATGACCAAAAATAAGATTTAAATTTTTTTAACGCTTAAAATTTGGTCTTTCTGAACCAGCAGAAAATACCGGTTTCTTCTTTCTTCTGCAGAGCTACACTTGCTACTTCAATGGCGGGAACCATCCAAACCCTCATTCTCACACCTTCACCCACAAAATCGCTTCTATTTCGTCATCGAAACCTTCATTTTCCCGCCAAACATGCTATCTTACGCTGTCACTTCATTTCTTCGCGTCGCAGCCGCTTGACTTGGAGATCCATAAGAGCCTGCGAGTCGTCCAATCAGGTCTGGTCGCCTCTAAGTCTACCATCTCGCACTTTTGTTTGGTTACTGAGAAAATGCGGGAAAATAACGGCAAAAGAATCGAGTTAGGATTTCGCAATCAAAAGTGCCTTTCGCTTGACGTGAATATTGCATAATAGTGGTTTTGGTAGAATCCGAAATTGAATGCTGTTTGTGGTAGAATCCGAAATTGAATGCTGTTTGTGGTAGAATCCGAACTGAATATTGCATAATACTGGTTTATGGTAGAATCCTGATATTGCGTAATAGTAGTTGTTTGTTCATTTGGATTTCTGTTCTTACATGGTTAAATCCGAAATCCAATGCTGCTTCAGATAGAAAGTGATGGAGAAAATCTTGATCGGGAATCGGGTTCAGTAGAGGGCTTACTTTGGGCTAGGCCATTGTTGAATTTTGCGTCGGATAATTTTCTTCCATTGGGTAATAATTCATCGTGTATATATATACATATATATGTATATAACATTTAATTTCTTGTTTTAATTCACTATTATGTTGATTATACTCGAGTGTTAATTTTCTTTTTTCTTGTTCTGTTGTTGAAATTTCCTTTTCTTTCGTGTATATTCTGTGCAGCGCTTTTGGGTGGAGTAGCGTTAGGGCTTGCAAATCCTGGCTTAGGTTGTCTTGCTGATAAATATTCTCTGTCAAAATTTAGCACATTTGGGATATTCATTGTTTCAGGTTCATATTTTTATTGCACAATACTCAAGTTATAGTTTTCTTAAGTTATATAATATGCCTACCTGTATATACACATATAAATATGGGTTTTGACTTATTTTGGTGTTTACATAGGATTGACATTGCGCAGTGAAGATATTGGTGACGCTGCAGAAGCATGGCCTGTGGCAATTCTTGGTCTAGTATGATATTCAACTTTCTCATCTGCCTTTACACATTGTGTCAGTTCATTCTTCATGATTTTCTTTTGTTCTCATACTCTATATTTATTTTCCAATTCCTTTTATAAAAAACTGTTGGAATGCATTAAGGTCATACCAAAAAAAAAAAAAAAAAAGGGAAAAACGGAGAGAAGTGAGAGGATTTTATTTTATTTTATTTTATATTTTGGGTTAGGAGAGAGGATTAGTGGAATCTATGGTTGTTTGGTAGGCGGGATTAGGATAGGGAAAAGCTTGGTCTGCGAATTCAAAATCATTGTTGGAACATTATTTTGACGCGTCTAAAGTTGGACTGTTTTTTACCCCACTGAAAATTCTTGGTATTATTGGTCTCATTTATAATCTTATTTGTTACACAGGTTTCCATTCTATTATTTACACCATACTTTTCAAGATTAATACTTCATTTTCGGCTCCAACCTCAAGAATTTGTTACAGGTTCGCTTATTGAAGATAGTTTATTTATAGATTAGTTGGGAAGACTGACGAGTAACAAACTCTAGTTATGTTTACTTAATAAACCATCTAGCTTTCATATCACTCCTCTGTTTCATACAGGACTAGCTATATTTTGTTGTATGCCAACTACATTATCAAGTGGTGTAGCACTTACACAGGTATGCTATTCCCTAAGTTTTTAATTTCTTCTTAGCTTCTTTTTTATTTTTAACCCAGTGTGATATGTATGTGGATTTAAGAAAAGGTTTGTGATGCTTACACGCAGCTTGCTGGAGGAAATTCAGCACTTGCTCTTGCAATGACAGTGATCTCTAATCTGCTGGGAATTTTGATTGTGAGTTTCATAGTCACCCCTTTTTTTTTTTTTTTTTTTTTTTTTCAAATTTTATCTACATGTTTGCATACTATTACTACTGTATGGTTTTCGGACAATTTATGAGGCGCTTTATTCATTGGCTATTATTTTGAATGTTTAATAGTGGCAATTTGGTTTTTAAGAAACAGTTGAACACATGTAGGGGCACTAAAGGCTGGTGCTCATATGAATGATTTCTGTTTTGTTCATTTTTCTGGATGATTTTTTGTGTGAAATAGTTCTATCCACATTTGTAAACTTGACTGCGCATTTATTTTATGTATGGATACTTTATATTCTAATCTTAAGACAGTTGGCCATACACACAATGCGAACTTATTTTTCTTCTTAATATGTTTTCTCATTCAATTCTTTAACATGTTTGAATTATATATGGGATGGCCGCAGAAAGAACTTAATTTCAGGAACATAATGCATATAATATATCTTTTTTTTTTCTTGCTGCAAAACTATTTACCTTTGTTAGCTCTGTATAATCAACAGAGTCTCTATAATGGCAGCAGACCGTATTTAGTTTATTTATTTATTTATTTATTTATTTTTGTTGAAAGGACCGTGATTAGTTTCAGGAATACAGTTGCATATCATATATCTTTCTTTTTCTTGCTGCAGAACTACATACCTTGTTATTTTGTATAGCCAACACGGTCTCTCTAATATAACCTATATTTTCCAGTTACCTGTTTCCACGTTCTTTTCTGTAATCAATGTATCTGCCTCCGCATGTTTTTCTGTGATAAATTCAATTTTTTAGTTGACATATACAATTATGTGCGTTTATAGATTCCATTTTCTATCTCGAGATTTATAGCTTCTGGAGTTGGTGTATCTGTTCCAACTAAGCAACTGTTGAAAAGTCTTGTGGTCACATTATTGATTCCTTTAGTCCTGGGAAAGGTAATTGATTTAAGATAATATTTTCTGTCAACTCTTCATTGTGAATGTTTAACTATTATCTTGTGTTTCTTTGTTGTGAATCCAGTCCCTTTTTACATGCTTTCAGATAGTAGTAACCAAATTCTTTTTGTTTTTTTTTTTTAATTAGGTCTTACGAGAATCCTTCAGAGGTGAGTGTGTCATTTTTCTTTCGTCTCATTACAATATTTCCGTGGCTTTTTATGCTGGATAGTATCAAGAGTGTGAACCTTGCTGTCGCATCGAGAATAAAAATGACACTGCATAGAGTATTATTGGTTCACCAAACTGTAAATCTAGTACATTTAAAATACTCTCTATGCAAGTCCAATTTGATTTGGCATAGGCTTAGAGTAAGTCTGTATTTAGTTGGGTTACATGTTATTTACAAAATATGACTAATACCTCATATTCAAGAGCAACAATAAAACAAAAGGAAAAAACAATAGATGGAGCACGCACAAGAAGAAGTACAAGATGATCTCACAAATTACAAAATCGTCTCACAAGACAACTCACTCTCTTAATCTCTTAAAAAATCAGTTTATATAGTTAAAAAATTAGGGCGGACTATTAGTTGCCCCGATGGTTGAATCATGGTAGGTGGGGAAAAGTGTACAGGTGTGATTAGGCTCCACATAACTCAACACGAAATGAATAGTGGATTGCTCTGTTTATTTGAACCAAATCAGACACGGGAACTGCATTAGGTCAGGCACCATCGTTGGGTTCAAGTAGAAGAGTGAGTTCAAAACTATGCTTTAACAAGCTTGAATAAGGTACTATTGTCGTCACCATTTCAATGTCTGATAACAAAATGATAAGCCTCCCGTGCGTTTTACATACGCTCGGAGGAAACGCCATCACGAGTCAAGGGTGGCAGTTGAAACTCAAGTGGTTGCTGAGGTGGAGGGAAGCATTCGTGGAGAGAATGAGGAAGAGGCTGAGTCAGCAGGGGTTGTTAGTTAGTTAGTCTTGGAATTAGTAAGAGGAATAAGAGTTAGGAGTATAAATAGAATAGGAAGTAGAATAAGGGGGGCATCGATTCATTTGTACAAACTTCCGAGAGAAGGAAACCTAGGAGAGCAAGGGATCTCTCGAAAATCCCCTTATCTTTCTGTAATCAACCTTCCGCCATTAATACAATCAAGCTCCTGTTAGTTTTCTTCTGAATTATGTCATAATTCTACTAACCGTGGATTTGGAGCTTAACATTTGGTATCAGAGCACTTTCCTGGTATGACGAGACGTACCGACGATCGCGAGAAGGAGAAGACGGAGGGAACGAGAGAGGAGTTTTCGAGGGAACTGGAGGAGGTGCGAGAGGAATTAAAGAAAATTCCTCGGCTGGAACAAGGTATGGACTGGCTGTTGGCAAGAATGGAGGAATTGATGAAATTACAGCGCCAGGAACGTCGGGATGCCCAGACAGCCGGAGTGGAAGCACCGACGAGGCATATGACACCGGGGGAAGAGACGAGCGAGAGAGCTAGGCCTCCGCGAAAATCTGGATTTCGCATGGATTGTCGGACCAGGCGAGTGGAAATGTTGACGTTTGACGGTGAGAATCCCGATGGTTGGGTCTTTAGGGCTGAGAGGTACTTTGTGATGAACAGGTTATCAGAGAATGAGAAATTGGACGTGGTGGTTGTAAGTCTTGACTGAGAAGCTCTGGCGTGGTTTCAATGGGAAGATGGCCGTCGAGTGATTCGGAGTTGGGCAGAATTGAAAGTGATGATCCTCGAGCGTTTCCGACCAACGCAGGAAGGTAGCTTGTGTGAGAAATTGTTGTCGCATCGGCAGGAAACATCGGTGAGGGAATACCGGAGACAGTTAGAAGTCTTGGCGGTGCCGTTGAGAGACATCTCCGAGCAGGTTCTGGAAAGCTCATTTGTGAATGGCTTGAAACCGGAGATACGTGCAGAAATTCGGTTGATCAAACCGGTTGGATTGGGCCGGATTATGGAGGTAGCCCAGAGGGTGGAGGAGCGTAACCTCCTAGTGTGCGGCCCAAAGGTGCAAGGCCCACAGTACTCGAATTGGAATAAAAGGAGTGTATCAAACGACATTAGGGTGAGTCAGACGACTTCTGGTTTTGGAAGTATATCTCGTTTCAGTGGGGCACCGACTGAGAGAGCGAAGTTTCCAGAGGAAAGGAGACCAGGTAACCAAGGCACATGAGTTGGAATTGGAGCAGCGCCATTCAAGAGGATGACCGGCGCTGAACTTCAGGCGAAGAGAGAGAAGGGACTTTGTTACCGCTGTGACGGAAAGTATTTAGTCGGCCACCGCTGTCCGAATCGTGAGCTACAAGTTCTGATAATTTAGGAAGGGGAGGAACAAGGAGAAACGGTGGCAGAAAGGGAAGAAGTGGCTGAAGAAGAGGAGATGGTGGAATTATCCATCAATTCGGTGGTTGGGTTGACAGCGCCAAAGACAATGAAGATCAAGGCGTTCGTCCATGGGTGCGAGATAATTGTTTTAATTGACAGTGGGGCTACCCACAATTTCATTTCTTGTGACTTGGTTCGGAAATTGGACTTACCGGTAGATAAAATGGGGGGTTACGGTGTGGTGATGGGTACCGGGTTAGCCGTGAGAGGAGAGGGCATTTGTCGGGGTGTGTTGGTTTCCATGCAAGATATTGAAATTGTTGAAGATTTCTTGCCGCTGGAATTAGGGAGTTCGGATTTGATTTTGGGAATCCAATGGTTAGAAACCTTAGGGGTTATGTCGGTGAATTGGAAGACTTTGGTAATGAAGTTCAGTTTGGGGGAAAGGCAGGTGGCATTAAGAGGAGATCCTGGATTAAATAAGTCACCGGTCACATTGAAGGCATTAATGAGGGCATTGAGACATGAGGGACAAGGGGTTTGGGTAGAGTTAGGAACTCTTGGTGTGGACCAATCGGTCAAGGAAGTGAGAATTCCTCTGGAATTGCAAACGGTGCTGAGGAAATATGGGAAGGTATTCGAAATGCCAGAGGGACTGCCACCGGTTAGGACCAAGGATCATGCAATTGTGTTGAAGGAGGGGACTACCCCTATAAGTGTGAGGCCATACCGGTACCCGTATACAGAAAACGGAAATTGAGAAATTGGTTGGGGAAATGTTAGCGGCGGGCATAATCTAACCCAGTGTCAGTCCGTATTCTAGTCCCGTTTTGTTAGTGAAGTAGAAAGATGGCAGTTGGAGATTTTGCGTGGATTACCGTGCCTTGAATAAAGAGACGGTTCCCGATCGGTTTTCGATTCCGGTGATCGAAGAGCTTCTAGATGAGTTACATGGGGCCATAATTTTCTCCAAGATCGACCTTAAGTCGGGATACCATCAGATCAGAATGAAGGCCGAGGATGTACCGAAGACGGCATTTCGTACACATGAGGGCCATTACGAGTTTCTCGTTATGCCGTTTGGGCTTACGAATGCTCCAGCGACTTTTCAATCGCTTATGAACGACGTTCTACGTGCCTTCCTTCGTAAGTTTGTACTCGTATTTTTTGATGATATACTCATTTACAGCCACACTTTAGAGGAACATGAAGACCATCTCGGCCAGGCGTAGGCGGTTTTGCAGCAACGTCAACTATATGCCAATGCTAAGAAGTGTAGTTTTGGGCAGCATTCAATTGAATACCTTGGCCATATTGTGTCTACGGCAGGAGTTTTGGCTGATCCGACTAAGATTGAGGCCATGGTTAATTGGCCGCCTCCTGCCAACTTGAAGGACTTGCGGGGATTTCTCGGATTGACGGGGTATTACCGGAAGTTTGTGGCGGGGTATAGTCAAATTGCAGGGCCCTTGATCAACTTGCTCCGAAAGGACAGTTTTCAATGGGATGTGGAGGCGATGCAGGCTTTTGAAAGGTTGAAGCATACCATGACACGTGTACCGGTGTTAGCCTTACCGGATTTCACTAAGCCATTTGTTCTTGAGTCCGATGCTTCTGGATTTGGAGTGGGGGCCGTGTTGATGCAGGAACAACGTCCTATCGCTTATTTCAGTCAAGTCCTAGCTGCTCAAGCGTGGAACAAGTCTGTTTATGAACGGGAGTTGATGGCCATTGTTCTGGCCGTTCAAAAGTGGCGGCCGTACCTTCTTGGGCATCATTTTTTTATTCGGACGAATCATCGTAGCCTCAAGTATTTGCTTGAGCAGCGCCTAGTTACCATGGAACATTAGAAATGGTTGACCAAGCTGCTGGGGTATGACTTCGAGATCCAGTATCGGCCTAGGGTGCAGAATCGAGCCGCGGATGCATTATCACGACTAGTGGTCAGCCCGGTTGTGGCCACCATGATGTTATCTACTTTTGTCAATACCGACGAAATCCATCGACAAGTGTTGCAAGATGAACGGCTCGCAAAAATTTGGTCCGATTTACCCCACAACCCAGCAGCATACCCGGGGTATTCTATTCGACAGGGCCGCTTGTTGTATAAAGGGCAAATGGTGGTGGCCCGTGGTTCTTCAGTTGTGCAGCGTTTGTTACATTCCTACCATAACGGGGTGTTGGGGGGCCATTCGGGGGGCTTGAAGACTTACCGCCGACTTGCGGCCGATTAGTTTTGGCTTGGAATGAAACGACATGTACCGCATATGTGGCGCGATGTGAGATATGTCAACGTTGCAAGGCGTCTACATTGGCACCCGGTGGGTTATTGCAGCCCTTGCCCATTCCCGAGCAGGTGTGGGAAGACGTGTCTATGGATTTTATTGAGGGCTTACCTCGTTCGGAGGGGTATGATACGATTTTGGTGGTTGTGGATCGCTTGAGCAAGTATGGCCACTTCATCGCCTTGAGACACTTGTTTTCGGCGGAAAAGGTTGCCAAGCTGTTTATCCAGGAGGTTGTGCGGTTGCATGGGGTCCCTCGGACCATTGTATCGGATCGTGACCGTATTTTTCTTAGCTGCTTTTGGACTGACTTACACAAACAGATGGGGACTTCTCTTTTGCGCAGTACCGCGTACCATCCGCAATCCGATGGGCAATCGTAAGTGGTTAATAGGTGTGTGGAGACTTATTTGCGGTGCTTTACTTCCGACAAGCCGGGGCAGTGGCGTAAATGGTTGGCTTGGTCCGAATATTGGTACAACACTTCATTCCACACGGCTACCCGTATGACTTCTTTTTAGGCAGTTTATGGCCGACTTCCTCCGCCCTTGTTGCGGTACAGTGTGAGAACTTCACTGGTGGATTCGGTGGAGCGGCAGCTGCGGGATCGCGACGCCATGTTGGATTTACTTAAGTTCCACCTCCTTCGGGCTCAATAGAAGATGAAGGCGGTAGTAGACGGAAAACGACGGGATGTGGAATTTGCCGTGGGGGATTTGGTGTACCTGAAGCTTCGTCCTTACTGATACGAACCCCGCCAACAATGTGACGAAACCCGTAGCCAAATATGGGATACGATCCAAGATCTTCAAGAATTGATGGAAACTGCGACCCGTTGCTTAGCAAAGTAAGAACCTTGGTATGGTGAAGACGCCATAAACGAGTTTGGAAATCCGTTTGATAAGTCAAGTTTGAACGCCACAAGGAAAACCTTGATAAGTTCGGAATAGTTCTTTAAGAACTCAAGAAGAATATCTTACAAAGTGAATAAACATCAAAACTTTTTATTAATTTTCGTTTTTCAGCCTTAAATAGCCGAGTATAAGCTGAAAAAGGTTTAAAAATTAAAAAGTCCTATTCTATCCTTAATGAGATAGAAACCTAAAATAAGATAAACCCTAAAAACAAGATAAAATGCGCCTAAAGCTTACCCTAGGGAAGGAATCCGAATTTTGACCTAAAGATAAGATAAAACACGCCTAAAAGCTTATCCCTTAGGAAGGAATCTGAATTTAAATCCAATTCCTTCCCTTTTAAACGCCTAAGATGGAATTTAAATGTTTAAATTGAAACTTAATCCTAAAAAGATAGAATTATGAAAAAATCAACTCTTTATCCGCAATTTGACTTGGTCCCTTGCTGGAAATTGCGCGTAAGCCTCTTGGAATATGCAAGTTGGCCATGCAATGGCTTGATGGACGTTTAAGGTTGATTGTCTTTTTTCCGGATTGACTTTGATGGCTATGTTCTCATCACTTACCGTCAAGTCTCATTGGCTTGCCGTCGTAATGAAAAGTTGAGTCCTCGTTTCTATGGGCCTTTTAGGATCACGTATCGTGTGGGGCCGGTCGCCTATCGCTTGGCTTTGCCAGAGTCAGCCACCATTCATCCTGTGTTTCATGTTTCTCAGCTGCGTAAGGCAGTGGGGCAGGAGCAAGCTGTTTCATCTCTACCGCCTCAGCTGACGTGTGACTTGGAGTTGTGCGCGGAGCCGGCTGCTCTGTTGGGGGTATGTCGCGCGCTTCATGGGGGCCGCAATGATCTCAAAGTGTTGATTCGCTGGGCACATTTACCGGCCCATGAGGATACATGGGAATCGTATGCTGCCATTGATGCGCAGTTTCCTCATTTTCACCTTGAGGACAAGGCGCGTCTTTGGGGTGGGGGTAATGATAAGCCTCCCGTGCGTTTTACATACGCTCGGAGGAAACGCCGTCACGAGTCAAGGGTGGCAGTTGAAACTCAAGTGGTTGCTGAGGTGGAGGGAAGCATTCGTGGAGAGAATGAGGAAGAGGTTGAGTCAGCAGGGGTTGTTAGTAAGTTAGTCTTGGAATTAGTAAGCGGAATAAGAGCTAGGAGTATAAATAGAATAGGAAGGAGAATAAGGGGGGCATCGATTCATTTGTACAAACTTCCGAGAGAAGGAAACCTAGGAGAGCAAGGGATCTCTCGAAAATCCCCTTATCTTTCTGTAATCAACCTTCCGCCATTAATACAATCAAGCTCCTGTTAGTTTTCTTCTGAATTCTGTCATAATTCTACTAACCGTGGTTTTGGAGCTTAACACAAAATCTCTGTTTCTAACTTTACTCAATGTACTGCAGGTATTGGAGACTTTGTTGATCAAAATCGGAAGCTTTTTTCTAAGATCAGTGCGATACTACTAAGTTTAGTAAGACCTAATGACCTATGTCCCGTCGTATCCTTCTATATATATTATGTTAAATTATCGTGTCAAATCATAAATTTTATTAGCTGCTACTATGATATCGCATTTGTTATTTTTTTTTTAATTTACTGGTTTAGTTTTGTGTTTCTTGTTTGTTCTTTGCAAGTTATGCTTTATTTGTGATGGTTTGATATGATTATTTGGATATCTTATTCAATTTGCTAGTATAATATATGATCTCAAAGAATATATAGTTTCTCCATTGGTTTATATGTTGGCTGGCCGTATTGTTCTTATATTGCTCAAGTTTTACATTGAGGTTTGCTGAAAAAATTATGTTCATGGTATTTAGGCTCGTTCGTTTCGCTAGTTCGAATCATAACTCAAGTTTTTATTATAGTGTTTTCTCTCACAACTCGAACGAGCGAAACAAACGAGACCTTAATATTTTAGATTGTTCATTGTTCTATGGCCTTCCAGTGTTCTTGTACCTTGGAGTGGAACGCTAGTTCCAAACTGCAAATGTTGCCTCGTTCGTTTCGTTGATTTGAGTTTAGAATTCGAGTTGAGATGTGATTTTATGTGAGAGCTTTTTACTGTAGCAAAAAAGTTAGATGTTACTGTTTGTAAGAGCTTTTTACTGTAGCAAAATTCGAATTCTAAACTCGAATCAGCGAAACGAACGAGGCGTTAGTGTACAAGCTACAAATATTTTGAAATAGGTGTCAAATATTATTGGCAAATACATCAAGTCCCTACTTTAAATTTAGCCAAAAAAAAAGGAAAAAAAAGAAAAATCTAGTCCCCAACTATGGTTCTTGTAGGGGCAAATGAAGTGTACGCATCTCTTATGCACGAGAGATGGCTATTTTTCTAGGACCGCAAGACTAAAAGTACTTGTGTTTCAAAACTAATAACGCCTTTTCAGGTGCCATGGATGCAAGTTAGCAGGTCCAGGTCACTGCTATTGATGGTTAAGCCTGCCGTTTTTCTTGTAGCTATTGGAGCCGGAGCGTGAGTTCTTCCCTTATATTTTCCTTGTATTTCTTTGGTCCCTGTTTCCTCATGCTTTATTACTATATACATTTGTAGATTTAAAAAAAATTAATAAAAAAACCGCATTATATACTTATTATCAAATATTTGATTGCTGGACATTGTACTTGAGTTCTACATCATTTTTTTTCCCTGGAACTGACTTGAAGAAACTGTAATCAAAGTTTCTCTGCAGCTTCTTTTACCTCAAGCAGTTAAGAAGTATCAAATATTTGACATCTCGTTCCTTATCATGAATCTCAACCAAGACATATATAGATATCTTTTCTTTAGTTGAGAGTTTTCAAAATCACAGATAATAGTCGTAAATCAGTTAAAGTTGTTCGACTAACTTGATCGCCGTGCTACTTAGTAATGTGCTCAAATAACGGAACCCTTTTATCTTATTGCAGGCTGTTGCATCTCATCTTATTAGCCTTCAATGTTTTGACTATAAAGAGCCTTTCAGCTCTCTCGGGTGGTGGTCAGTCTGTCTTTGCAAAGAAAGAAAATTCCAGTGCCTTTTTGCTTGTTGCAAGCCAGGTGAGTTACAGTTAATTTTACCAGCGAGCTGTCGGGGATTTTCGACTTTTTCCAAGTGATTTCACCAGCTAGACTACTTTTATCTGACTACCATTATTTTAATCCAACAGAAAATATTTTTTCTCGACTTACTTTCCTTTAGGCAATTATCAAGATTGATACACATTGAATGCTTTTCGTAGAAAACTTTGCCTGTAATGGTGGCCGTGGTGGAGAAGCTTGGTGGTGCGTTTGGTGAGTCGGGTTTGCTGGTTCTTCCTTGTGTTGCAGCACATTTGAACCAGGTTACTTATGTTTCTCCTCTTCTTTTTCCTCTATTTGTAAATGACTGTTTTATCAATGAGGGTGAAAAAATAATTAGACTCTGTGTTAGTTATGACAACTAACAAATTTTCTCACTAAAAATCTCACACTTTCGAATGGATAAAAAATAATGGGACCCATGAATTCTTTCATTCCTCTCACCTCTCTTTTCTTCTCTATCAAATAACGGACTCAATTCTGCTGTCTAATTTTAGTGTCTTAATTAGTGTCTAACCATAGATTGCTATTTAACTAGTTTTTTTTTTTTTTTTTGTATTTTTTTTTTTGTAGTTATTATAGGATGGTGTTATATGATTAATTGATTAGACACTAATTAGAACACTAAAAGTTGGACAGCAGATTTGGATCTATCAAATAACCTACTATTTCATTTTCTCTTCAAAAATCACCTTATTCTTTTCTTTCATTCCACTTTTCACCTAACGCAGTGTTTGACTTGGCTATAACTAACACCAAAATTTACGCATGCAGATAATCCTGGATTCTTTTCTTGTTAACTTCTGGCTTCGGAAGGATACCTCCAACAGATTCAAAGTTTCTTAATGCAATCCCACTTCTTGCTATTCATTTTTTTGTAAACCCGTGGTTGTGTAATTGGGCTGTTTTATGGTTAAAAAATGGAAAATCAATTTATTACACCTTCAAAAGGTTTCAGCCACATTTATACCATTTTTGTTTGTGCAATTGCATCTTTTAACTTTGTTTCCTCTCTTGTACTCTCAAAAGGGGAAAAAAGGGCAAAATAAAAGGATAAATAGAGTTCATTGTTATCTTGTAGTCCTTAATTGCATTTTATAGGCGCATTCAAATGGCTAAATATCTGTTGTACCTCCAGAAATGTCGTAGAAAACAGTTTTAAGTGCTTTGACGACAGAGATTTACATGTTACCAACTTATAATGGGATGTAATGAGAAAAGAAATGCAGTTTTTTTTTTTTTAATTTAAAAAAAAACCCATATCGGAGGCAACTTGCATTTCAACAAAAATAGAGCAACAAACATCACAATCACAAAACAAGGTTAATGACCTAGCTAGAGAACGGACGCACATCTGAGACTTGTAAATGAGAGTATACCTGGACATACTAAGGTCGAGTACACCTAAGATTTCATTTGATAAAACCCTTCTTAGCAAGATAAGTTTTTGAGTGATGGAGAGACAAAACATCTTAGGATTAAGGCTACACCAAATACTGCCAAGACACTAGTCTAATGGACACAAAAAACAAACCAAGACAATGGGATGAAAACACTGGCTATTATAGTAAAGAAAACACACTACAAACAAAAACACAATAAACACACAAAAAAACCCCAAAATCCGCCGTCAGACGACTTTGGCGAGAAGGCAATCGATGAGAGCACCACTTGGAAAGGAAGAGGACTTTGAAGGGGATACGGTGAGGTCAAGAAAATGACGTCAAAAGTGCAAGTGAAACTCACCCTCCACAGCTGTTGCGGGCAATTGAAAATACCTCCTCCAAGAGAAGCCCACCACCGCATGAAAAAAAAAAGGTGCTAAGGTAGCATGGCCACCATCCGGAGAATATGTTGGAAACAACAGCCTGAACGAACGACACCCCATTTCCAAAGCGTGTTAGGTCTAAAAGTGCCACTCCACACATTGCCACCACCACATAAAAGATGATGACATGGCAAGTCCAGGGACTAAGTTTCAGGGCTGGAAGCCCAGCGATGCACTCGGCCAAACACAACACTCAAAGGACTTTAGAGAGAACGAGACTTTTTTCCTTTTGAGTCAAGAAAATTTTTGAATTAATAGGGAATCAATTTCACAAGATAACTCTGGATTGCCTCTCATTTGAATAAGTGTTTCTCTGATACGTTATAGTTTATCTGTCTCTATCATATAACATTGTGGATGAGTGTTACAAGTTTTTGTTCTTCAACATCTTGCTTCCATGCTTTGAAATAGTTCTTTCATATTATGCTTGCATACTATTACTTTAGTACTTGCTTGTATTTTTTTTTTTTGTTTCTTTTTGAAATCTTTTTTTTTCCATTAAAATCATTAATTTTTCCTTTAAACACCTCATTTAGTTTTTTTTTTTTTTTTTTTTTAAAACTTTGATAAATATTCTAATTGTGAATCTCTACTCTTGATTGCATATCTATACTATTTATAATAGAGAAGATGTTTCCAATTCATCAACTTATTTCCTTTTTTATTATTATTTTTTGGTTCAACCATTATTATACATATGAAATTGTTGATTTTCATACAATCATATTTATATTTAGGTTTAATTTGAAAACATTTTAATATCTTTATATTATAATTGTAAACATTTATGATATCCATTTTTGAATTTGAAAAATCGTTATAAGTTGGCTATATCTATTTTAATTTATAACAATTAAAATATTGTTAGCATGTTATACATGTTCAAGTGCAATTTTAATTATAAATTGAATTCATATCATATTTATTTATTATTTTGCAGAGAAACAATTAAAAAAATATTTGTATTGAAACATTATTTACCATAGTAGTATTAATTAAATTTTAAAAAACACAAATTGCAAAAAAAAAAAAAAAAAAAAAAAACGCAAAAACTGTTACTAACGAGGGAGGCACGTCCATCATGCTAGTCTAATTTAACAATACATAAAACAGATAAAGGCCTCGTTCATTTCACTGATTCGAGTTTTACTACAGTAAAAAGCTCTTAAAAATAGTTATATCTAACTTTTTTTATTATAATAAAAAACTTTCACAGAAAGTCACATTTCAACTCCAATCAACAAACTAAACGGACTTAAAAAGATTCTCCCCTAGCATGCCACATGTGACATGTCATCCTTTTATGTTTCCTTCCTTCTTTTTTATTTTCTAATCTATTCTAACAACCATTAAAAGAGTCAAAACTCTTTCTCTCTAAGGTTGCCATATGGCAAACCTCTCCCTCTCCCACGTTTTTTTTTTGTCGTTTTTTTACTCTTCTTTATTTTTTCTTTATCTTCATTCTTTTTTTTTTTACTTTTTAAATGTTTTGTTTTTCTTTTTTATTTTGTGAATTTACTTGGACGATTTATGTAATGACCGAAAAAAATTTAAGTCTAATCCGGACAGTCCGGTATTTGATCGAAATTCTTTCCGGAATAGTAAATAGTAGAATTTTGATGTAATCAAGAAAATGTTATGTAAAAATTTTATGTACAGGGTAAAATCTCCCGAAAAGTGTAAAGTTATAATACGAATATTTTTACAAAGAAAATTCGTAAATATCACTTATGAATAGTGAGATATTAGTTAAAAGTTAGAAATTTTAACGGGTATATATTAGTTATGAAAAACTAAAATATTTGGTATGTGACTAAATGACCAGCTAGAAAAAGAATAGAAATATTAGAAGTAAAGAAAATATCAAAAGTTCCTGAAACGGAATTTTCCCGAGTCAGTTAAAGCGAGAAACTGCAAAAAAAAAGAGTACCGCAAGGGTACGCGTTTTGGGCAATTCTGAATCAATTAAGATGATAATTTCAGAAAAGGGAATTGACTAATGAGATACCTAAGAGAAATGGGTTGAATATGAAAAATTTGACCCAGGGTGCTCGGCAGTCCAGAAAATTAGTATAGAACCTGTACTGATTGTGAAATTATTAGTACCGGAAAGAGACTCATTTTGAGAAACAGAAAGTTCAGTCTCGACAAGAGAAATATGGGGAACATAGAACCACTCAAATAAAGTGTTAAACTTAAGTAGAACTAGTAAAATTAAATTATGAAAATTAATTTAATTTCTTTAATTTAATTTAAAAAGTAATATTAGATATTATTGAAAATAATATTATAATATTAATTAATCTCTTAAAGAGTTCCACGGAGATACTAGAAGACACTCTTGTTTTATTTGCCTTGCCGACCAAGAAGAAAAAAAAAAAAAAAGAGAGACGTGAGAAAGTTACGAAGAAAGAAAAAAAAACAAAGCAGAGAGAGAGATTCGTAAAAAAAAAAAAGACAGAGAGTTGTGCGTTGGTAACTTACCTTGTAAAACTACCTAAGTGTACTAAGGCTATTTCTCACGTTGAAGAACAACAAAAACTTGCTAATGCCAACGTGAAGCATAACAGAGGAAAGTTTTGGGAAAAAAAACGTGAGAAAGTGACGAAGAAAAAAAAACATAGAGTTGTTAGAGAGAGACAGAGAAAGGAAAATTAAGCATTTTCATTGAGATTTCTTCCGTTCAGTCCGGTAGAAACGTAACCTGAGGCGTTCTAGCGGAGAAACCTCAACTTCTGGAGGTAAGATTTCAGAGTTTTCGTGAGAATTCTATATTTTCTTGATTTAGATGAATAGTAACCCATCTCAGAAAAAACTTCTATTAAAGTGAAAATTGAAACTGAGATTTTGTAGAGTATCGTAATAAGAGTTTAACGGTGTAAGTGTTAAGACAATTGAATAAAGTTTTGGTGGATTTCTATTGAAAATCTGTGAGCCTAAATTAAGGAAGAACATATGTTTTGTTCAATTTTATGTTGGAATCTGTGTTCAGGAATGTAAATCTTGACTCCATGTACCGAAATCAGAAGTAAAACGAGTTATTAAAAACTCGGAAAACGAGAAAAATAAGGCAAAATTCTGCCAAAATTTAGTTCGAGTAATTTGAACTAAAACTGGATTTCAAGAGGAATATGGGATTAAAGTGTGAAAAGAAAGATGTTTCGATAATCGGTGATGGTTGGAAACTGAACACAACGAGAATTCACAGTTTTGGACCAAAATTGAAAATTAGGCCCATGACTGAGTAATTTGCACGATTTTAGCGCAAATCCTTGAGATAGGAAATGATTTGAGATTGAATACCAAACATAAGGATTGTAGACCTTTCCGAAGTAAATTTCAAAGTAATTATTGATCTTAAATTCTGAATCTAACGATCGAAAAATTTATGCAATAGGGCCGATTAACGGTTGAAGTTGGAAAGCGTCAAGGGAGACAAATGACGCGTTGTTAGCGAAACTTTGGTAAGTACAATAGTTTTTCTATGGCTATGTCACGAACAAGCTTGCTTTTCTATGTTGCACAAAGATTGTGCATATAGTAGAATTTTGAATGATAGATACAATGTGAATGCTAGGTACTATATTAGGTAAGTATCTACAAGACTTATGTAATCGTAGAACTTTATTCTGCAAAAGTATGTATCGATGTTAGGTCGAGATCAAACTAAGAAAAGTGAAATGTTAAAGTTTAACAAAAAGTTAATCTCATGATAAGATGCTCAATAATGCACAAATTCATAAGATTTAACTAAAGTTACCGTTTCAATGAGAAAAATGATAAACGGTAAGAGACTAAACGTCCTATTTGTACCAGCCTTC